AGTGAGCATGAACAATTTATACAACGAAAACTAATCTTAAAAGATTTAAGAATTTCGATCATGACCAAGCCAGTCTCTAGTGGACCCATAGATGAAACCTCTTACCTCCCTCTTGACAGAGATGATGGACACAAGGTGCACAAACATTTATTTCTGGACCCGTCTGCTGTAAGGATTTGTTTTGCTTGGCTATGCTTATTTGATACAGGGATTTCCAACCCCTCTTTCTTTTTCTCAGTTAATGAGGGGATGAGGGAATAGGGAGAGAAGTTAGCATTGGAGATGAAAAAAAAAGTAATTGAAACATTTTAAAAGCACACATAAAAGAACAGAAGGAAGTACAAAACAAGTGGACAGTTTTGAAAGTAATGTATAAAATGTAATATATCCATTAAAAAAAAAGCAAGGGATGTGAAATGAAGATTCCCTGTTTCATATAGAATCCTTTTATGTTCTGTGGGCATGAGAATGCTCTTTTTTGGTGTTAAAAATTCAGGATAAAAAAATAACATTTTCTAAAGTTTAAAAAAATAGGAATACCTGTGTCATACTTCACTGGAATACTTCTGTAAGATCAAATGAGATAAGATAGGCAAAAGTGCTTTGCATGTAGTAAAAAAAAAAATAAATAAATGGGGGCAGCTAGGTGGGGCAGTGGATAGAGCACCGGTCCTGGAGTCAGGAGGATCTGAGTTTAAATCTGGCCTCAGACACTTGACATTTACTAGCTGTGTGATCCTGCGCAAGTCATTTAACCCCATTGCCAAACCAATAAATAAATGAAAACTGCACAAATGTAAGGAAACAAGTTAAAGCTCCCTTTCTAGCATCTGAGATTCCCCTTCCCCCACGACTGACCACACCCCACCTGGACAGCCTTATTCCACACACTATTCCCCTTCACAAGCAATATTACTTTCAGTTTCCTTGTATAGTTCTTTCCATGTCCTAACCTTGCTTATGTCTTTTCTTCTACCTAAAAGAATGTTCTTTGCCCATTCTGAACCCCAATACTATCTATTGAAATTTAACCCATTTTTTAAGACTCAGCTTGGATGCCACAATTTTTATGAAGCCTCCTTTGCTTCCTCACCTTGAACTTTACATAGTATTTTATTTGTACTCTCCTTAGTTACTCTTCATTTATTTCATATATTTTTCATATATTATTTGTATATAAATTAATGCATTAAATTATCAAGTGCTTTAACTTTATGCTAAACTCTGGGGATGCCAATAGAAAGCCAAGATTATACCAGATCTCAAAGAGCTCAAGTTCTAAGATGGGGTGGAGAGGAGGAGGGAGAGGGAACACAGATATAAGAGGCTAAAGGTTAGATGGAAAGGCTCAGTAGTTGCTAGGGTGTAGGGGCATCTTCTTTAATGTCAATTCCATGGAGAAAGCCATATCCATTTCTGACGTTGAACCATTTGGGAATGTCAAGGAATTTGGTGGCCTCAATTTTTTTCCTGGGTCTTCAGTAGCTGTGTTTGCTGAGGTAGAAGCTACCACACCAGCAGAGGAAGCACGATTGTCAGGTTAAATTTCCCCAAGAGGGAAAGTATGGAAGCTGTGTGAATTCAGAACATGTGTCTTGGCTTTGCCCCTAAAAGACGTGAAGGGCTGTACCTGTATTGAGGTGTGGGTCAAGACCGGTTGAATTCCCTTGACAATGGTTTTGGGAGGGCAGATTTCAGGAAGGGTACAGATTAGAGAGATGTTGTAAAAGTAGAAATGATAGGATTTGGCAACTGACTGGAGATAAGTGGAGTAAGAGAGAGTGCAGAGGCCTGGATAACGTCAAGGAGGACAACATGGGAGACTAAAGGTTGGTGATGCCCTGGCCAGAAATGGGCAAGTTGTAGGACTGGAGCTCAGAAGCCAGACTGGAGTTGGAAATAACAGTCGATCAATCAGTAAATAAACATTTATTAAGGACCTAGTGTGTGCTAGGCACTGTTCTAAGCACTGGGGATGGATCCAAAGAAAAAGGAAAAAGACAGTGCCTACCCTGGAGGGCTCACCATCTAATGGGGTAGTGGAGTCATTTGTAAAAAGATGATAATTAAACCCATCTATAAAACCGAATAAATGGATACTGGTGGCGCTTCATAGGGCTGAGCAAAATGATTTGTAAACCTTAAGGCACTGTACAAGTTTCAGTTATTATTATTAATGTCCCTAACCAGGATGGAAAGAAGGCTAGATTTAAGGTTAAAAGACTTGGCCCCAAATACCAGTTCTGCTATTTACTGCTTGTCACCTCGCACCTATCACATTATCAGACCCACAGGAACTACTTTGAACCCTTGTTGAATTGAAGGTAGGACGGAGTCAGATGTAAAAGGCTTTAAAAGTTACACAGAGGACTTTGTCTTTTATCCTGGAGGTAATACGGAGCCATTGAAGCTTTTTGATCAGACCTGTGCTTTAGAAACACAACTTTGTCCTCGGTATGGATGATGGATTGGAATGGGGGAAAGACCTGAGGCAGGGAGGCCAATTAGGACGCTGTTGAAATAGACCAGGTTAAGAGGTGATGAAAGGCTTATTATCTAAGACGCTAGCTAGCCATGTGAGTCAGGGGCAGCTAGGTGGCGCAGTCTATAGAGCACTGGGCTTAGAATCAGGAAGACCTGAGTTCAAATGTGCCCTAGGACGCTGACGAAATTACCTAGAGAAAAACGGAGAGAAAGCAGCCCCGAATAGTAGTGTTAGGGTTTGCCCACAGTTCGTGGATGATAATTCCGGCAAGGACGCTGGATATACAGATAGGAAAAGAAAGAGAAGCGCGTAATGATTAGTATCTTGGAGTCAACACTGCAGAGTGCATCAGAGAGGTAGGGGTATTGAGAACCGGCCTCAGTTTTGGGCCACTGGTTGCTTTTCAAGATCACTCTCAGTTCTAAATCTTATAAAACTGAGAAGAACCGGCTTTGTAGCTGAACTGGGCAGTAGGTCTCCACGAGGAACCTGGAAAGGATGTTTCGAAATGCAAAGTAGTTCTTTAGGAGAAATCTGATTCTGTCCGAAAAAGTGGTCCTAGAAAAAAAATAGTTATGCTAAAAAGAAAAAAAAAATCTGTGAAGTATTAAAGACACTCAGAAACATTTGGGCGGGGTGTGAGTGCAGTGACAAAGAGGAGGATGGGGTTAGGGTAGAGCAAAGAGGAGGATGAAGGTAAGGGGGCAGGGAGCTAAACAAGTTCAGATTACAGAGAGGCAGAGGAGATAAAAGGAAAAAGGATGGTTTCTTAGAAGGGGAAGGAGTTTGGAAGAAGAGAGGGTTAAGAGTAAAAGCCAGAGGGAAGTTGAGATAAGAGGCTGGGGAGGCCGGGTATGTGGGAGGGGGGTCGGGGGAGACCATGGGGAGGGGGGAAAAGAATAGATGTGGCAACCCAATCCTGGATTGGAGGGAAGACATGAATCCGCCCTGATATTTAGGGGAATCTTCTTCTCAGGAGTGGGAAGGAGCCTAAACATTCTTTCAAGTGATAAAATGCCACACTTTTGGGTACGAAAAACAAAATCGGAAGACTTTTAAAATCATTTGTCAATTTAATCCTTGCTAAATTTGCCTTCCCTTTATCTGAGTACACAGTCTTAAAAGGCTTTCTCCTCTCCAAGTAGGAAACACACCAGGCAGAGAGGGCCTGCTTTAGTCCATACAGCGGAGCAAAGGGCTTTCTAAACTCAATTTTCTTTCTTCTCTTTTTTAAAATCCCCATTCCTTTGGGGGAGACAATAGAAATAATTGATTCATCATCCAGTTCCAGGCCCAAGGGAGATTTACATGCAAATGTCCCATTCTTCCCCAACTCCCCCTCCCCCCCACCTCTTCAAATTAAAAACCCAAGCAAGGAGAAATCAAAGAAAACCCTTCTCTTCGGCCAGCGGGAACCGCAGCTGGAGGGCCCAGAGGTGAGAGGCCCCCAGGAGAGTGAGGAGGAGGCAGTGTCCCCCACCTCCTCCCCCTCCTCCCCAGCTCTTTTTAATGCATCCAAGCTCCCAAAGGTTTAGGGTTAAACAAAGCCCCCATTTCCCAGGAGAAAGTACCTGAAAGTTGACTGGGGGAAGGGGGGGGAGGAAGAGGGGAAAGGAAATTCCCCCATAGCTAAGCTCCCTTTTCCTCTTCTGCTAGTGTCCAGATTCCTCTCCACCCTCCCTCCCCTTACCCCCCCCACTGACCTCCGATTAAGACCTCCTTGTAAATGCAACTAAACGTTGCTTTGCACAATTAAAATGCACTTGGAAGAGAGTGAGGAGGGAAGGGGAAAGAGTTATTCCCCAACCCCAATCTCCCTCTCTCCCTCCCCCACCCAGAAAAAACTCTACACCTTCCAGCCCAAGAATTCCCGAGTTTTCTCACTTTAAGGAGCCTCGGTACACAGAGAACCATAATGGATTTCTTTGTGCTAGCTACGGGGCAATTATGCCCCTGAGTCCTGGCCCCTTTAAGAGCCTCTTAAAGAGACAGGCTCCCATTTCTTGAAGGGTTATTTAAGGGTGTGGGGCGGTGGGAGGTAGGGATACAAAAGCCTACAGATCTATATTTAGGGTGAGATAATGAAACTCCTGCAGGGTCTTGCTCCTTGAAAAGGGTGTGTGTGGGGGGGAAGAAATTCCAGCTTTTTTTTTTTTAAGAGAAAAAGTTTCAAGCTTAAACCAAAAGTTCCAGGACTTTTCAAGAAAGTTTCAAACTTCTTTTCCATTGATTCGAAAAGTTCTCCTGGAAAACCAGGAGGTCTCAGGGGCCTGGAAGCATAAATGGAAGTGGGGGATGGGGTGGAGAAGCGGCTTTAAAGGGACCGAAACTATAAGTTGGATATAGTCCCATCTTCCCCTAAAGGGGATCGGTCTGGGCCTATGGTCTCTACAGCTTTTGTCTGTTCCCGTGTCTGTCTTTGGGTCTCGCCGCCGAGACTCCGGGGAGATCCTGGCCCAGGCCAACAGCTCCAAATATAATAATAGCTTGTCTCTTTAAAAAGCAAAAGGGTGGGGGGGTGGGGAGGAAAGTTTTGTTGGCATCTGGTTTCTGATCTCATTATGTTGTGGTTGACCAATCCTGCCCTCGGGGCTGGTCCCCGAGTTTGAATCTGATTGGCTAAGAGTACATTTTGGGAAGGGGCTTAGAGCCCGCAGGGGCGGTTTCAAGGTTTCCATTTGGGGGGGCCGAAGAGAGGGCGGGGCGGCAAGCGGGGGGCCCCCTTGAAACCGACTAATTGGGAACGGAGAGGCCGAGGTGAGGGCTGGAATAGGCACAAAGGAGTCCCTGGGCTGGGAGGGGGGGGTGGAGAGGAGAGGATAGACGAGTGGAGGAGGAAGAGGAGGAGAGGAAAGGAAGCTTAGCTAAGCAGCTTCAGCGGCTCAGTCTGGCCGGGGAGAGCAAGTAGGCAGGCACCGTCCCCCCCCTCCCCCGCCCCTACTCCCCAACTTTTTTAACGGAGAAAAGTTTGGAAGAGGAGGCGGCGGCCGACGGGAGCTGTAGTGATCTTGGGGCGAGGGGAGGGGGGGAAACCTGTGACCGAAAGTGGAGGGGGGGGGCGGCCAGCATGCGGCCCCCCAGCGCCCTGCCCCGTCTGTTGCTGCCTCTGCTGCTGCTCCCCGCCGCAGGCCGGGCCCAGTTCCACGGGGAGAAGGGTATCTCCATCCCGGACCACGGCTTTTGCCAGCCCATCTCCATCCCGCTGTGCACGGACATCGCTTACAACCAAACTATCATGCCCAACCTGCTGGGCCACACGAACCAGGAGGACGCCGGGCTCGAGGTGCACCAGTTCTACCCGCTGGTGAAGGTGCAGTGTTCGCCGGAGCTGCGCTTCTTCCTGTGCTCCATGTACGCGCCCGTGTGCACCGTCCTGGAGCAGGCCATCCCGCCCTGCCGCTCCATTTGCGAGCGCGCCCGGCAGGGCTGTGAGGCGCTCATGAATAAGTTCGGCTTCCAGTGGCCCGAGCGCCTACGCTGCGAGCATTTCCCCCGCCACGGAGCCGAGCAGATCTGCGTGGGCCAGAATCACTCCGAGGATGGTGGGCCGGCGCTGCTCACCACCGCCCCCCCGGGACTGCAGCCTGGAGGAGGGGGCACCCCGGGAGGCCCCGGCGGAGGCGGAGGCGGCGGCGGCGGCGTTGGGGGAGGCTCCCCTCGTTACGCCACCTTGGAGCACCCCTTCCACTGCCCGCGGGTGCTCAAAGTGCCCTCCTACCTCAACTACAAGTTCTTGGGCGAGAGAGACTGCGCCGCCCCCTGCGAGCCGGCGCGCACCGACGGCTCCATGTTCTTCTCGCAGGAGGAGACGCGTTTTGCCCGCCTGTGGATCCTCACCTGGTCCGTGCTGTGCTGCGCCTCTACCTTCTTCACCGTCACCACCTACCTGGTGGACATGCAACGCTTCCGGTACCCAGAGCGGCCCATCATCTTCCTCTCGGGCTGCTACACGATGGTGTCCGTGGCCTACATCGCGGGCTTCGTGCTGCAGGAGAGGGTGGTTTGCAACGAGCGCTTCTCCGACGATGGCTACCGCACAGTGGTGCAGGGCACCAAGAAGGAGGGCTGCACCATCCTCTTTATGATGCTCTACTTCTTCAGCATGGCCAGCTCAATCTGGTGGGTCATCCTCTCTCTTACCTGGTTCCTAGCCGCTGGCATGAAATGGGGCCACGAAGCCATCGAGGCCAACTCTCAGTACTTTCACCTGGCAGCCTGGGCTGTGCCAGCCGTGAAAACTATCACCATCCTGGCCATGGGGCAGATCGACGGCGACCTGCTGAGCGGGGTCTGCTTCGTGGGGCTCAACAGCTTGGACCCGCTGCGGGGCTTCGTGCTGGCGCCTCTCTTCGTTTACCTGTTCATCGGCACCTCTTTCCTGCTGGCTGGTTTTGTATCCCTTTTCCGTATCCGCACTATCATGAAACACGATGGTACCAAGACGGAGAAGCTAGAGAGGCTCATGGTGCGTATCGGTGTTTTCTCCGTGCTCTACACTGTGCCGGCCACCATCGTCATCGCCTGCTATTTCTACGAGCAGGCGTTTCGGGAGCATTGGGAACGCTCTTGGGTCAGCCAGCATTGCAAGAGTCTCGCCATCCCGTGCCCACTGCAGTACACGCCGCGCATGTCCCCCGACTTCACCGTCTACATGATCAAATACCTCATGACCCTCATCGTGGGCATCACGTCGGGGTTCTGGATCTGGTCTGGCAAGACTCTCCATTCATGGAGGAAGTTTTACACCCGGCTCACTAACAGCAGACACGGGGAGACTACCGTCTGAGGACACCGCACCTCCCGCCCACCCCATCCCTGCCCCTCACCCCGTCTCTCACTTCTCTCCAGCCCCCCTGTCCTTGGGGAAAGTGCGATTCAGGGTGTGAGCAAGAGTGACTTTCTGACCAAGGGGTGCGAGTGGGGAGGGGGTGGGGAAGGCCCACAATCTTATTTTATTTTTTAAAAATAAATCTAAACCATTTTCGGGGGTTTTTTTTAGGTCGTATTTTTCCTCAAAAACTTTGTGCACCCTTCCCCCAAGGTTTGTAATTAAAACTGTAAATAGTCTTTGTAAATTTAATTATATATTTTCTATTTAAAAAGGAAAAAAAAGGAAAAAAAGACCAGCGAGAGATACCGCAGGCTGGGTGATTGGGGATGGGGTGGGGTGAGGGTGAGGTGACCCTTTTTTTGATACCCTCCCTTTCCTTCTAAGGTACGAAGTTTTTGGTGATTTGGCAGGGCTGGGCCTGTCGGAGGAGCCACCAAGACTGAATGCTGTTTTTGTTGGCTGTGAGGGATTTCTTGCAGTTGAACTTCTGTAAAAGCCAAATTTTGTGAGCCTTTCCCCTGACGCCGGATCTGTGGAAGCTGTTCTGTGTTAACGGACAAGACTTGGATGAATATTCTCTCTCACTCTCTCTCTCTCTCTCTCTCTCTCTCTCTCTCTCTCTCTCTCTCTCTCCTCCCCCCCCCGGCCTCCCCCCTTTCTGGAAATCTATCAAGAGAGATGAAGACGTGGAAAAAAAAAAGGTGGGGGGATCGGTGGGTTGAGAGTGTGGAATGGCCTAGCCCAAGCTCCCCAGCCTCCCTTCCAGCCAATGCAAAAATCTCTCTTCCTTTTAACTTTGTTTTCGACGAACTACACCACCCCACCCCCTCTCACCCCAGTTTGAATTTGTCGGACACTTGCATTGTGAAGTGTGGGTTTCTTAAACAAAAGGGTATTCCCATCTTGAAACTCAACTGGCTTCCCCCTTCTGCCAGTGGCCCATTAGAGTTGGTTTCGGGGGGGGTGGGGGGGTGCAAGATAAGAGGTCGAACTACGATGTCCCCAGATAAAAAGAGCTTTGAGGTCCCTGGGCACCGGCAGCAAACTGTTCCTTCCCCCTCAACCAGCCCCCCCAAATTGATCCCCCCCCCGAGTCACCTAAACTCCTGGTACAGACTATCACTTAGAGCATGTATGTGAGTGCGTGCCTGCTTAAAAAGCAATAAAAATGCGTACGGCGTGGGGAGGGACTGGTGGGATCTGAGACTTCTCCTTCCTAACAAAAGAATGGTTTTCTTTTCAAGTTTCTTTTCAAACTTGACCAGAAGAAAAGGTGGGTATTGGTTGTTTATGAAGGTGGGGTGTGGGGCTGAACCGAGGTGTTTACATGACATTCTATATCCCAAGATCCATAGAATGTTTATAACAGATGTTTCTTATCTTTTTTTTTCCTGAAATAAAATTCGAGACTTAAAAAAAAAGTCCCCAGCTTGAAGAGTGATGTATAAAGTATCTTCTTTGTGTTTGTCTTTGATAGAAAAATCCCAGGTTCTTCTGGCCTTCCCTAATCTTTTCCATCCCTAGCTACTTGGGACTATTTTACAGTTTCATTACATAGCATTGATTTCTGGACTTGGTGGGAGCAGGGATGTAGATTTAAGAGAATTATTGTTGAAGATTGTCACAAATCAGGTGTTTTAAAATGAAGTAAAGGGGTCCCAGCGAGTCAGGTGTGGGATATCTCACTTTTTTCCACCATCTTAGTGTGTCAATCGTGCAAATTAAACGCTAATAATAATAATAAAGTGTATTTAATTATCTTTGGTAGATCTAGCCCTTTAATTGTGTTTAACTGGGCTGTAACATTTTATTGGTTTAACCAAACCACACCTCCTCCCCCTCCCACCCTTAGCAATATAGGAGAGGGGGTGATGGGGAGATAATGAATCTGGAGCCTTTATAGGCCTTTCTGTTTAGTTGGGGACAAGAAAAATAGCCCCTTAGCTTTTCCTCCCCCTGCCCTTTTTTAGGGTGCCCTTTTTGGAATAGGGTGGGCCAGGACCACAAAGTTAAAATCCTTACAGGAATTTGTATAAGGGTGTTTTTTAGGTGGGGAGGGTAGAAGAGAGGGGGAACTAGAAATTGAACTATTAATTGACGCCCAGTGAGTACAATGTTTGGAATAATGAAACAGAAGGGAGGGAAAAACACCACTCCTCCAAACCAATCATTGGGATGGCCCTGGTTGAGGATTGCAAAGAACTTTCACTGAATGAGGAAGAACCATTGGAGCCTAGGCCTGAGGCTCCCCCTCAAATTAGGAAATTTGGAAAGGCCTGAGGCTTGTGCTTTCTGGATTCAAAAGGAGCTCAAACAGAATCACCAGGAAAGAGTTCAATAAGTTGTTAGCCTGTCTGTATGACCCCTCAAAATGATGGAAAAACCCTTTGGATCTGGTTTGATTTTTCCAGTGGCTGGGATCTTACTGAGGTGGAGGGAGGCAGAGGAAGAAGGTACATATAATCCTTTTGTTGATTTGAGAAATGGTTAGATTGAACCAGGCTGGGGCTTTGATCTATGTGTGTGTATGTGTACAAAGACATACATGTATATGTATACATGTGTAGATATGTATATGTGTGTGCATCCACACATATATGTATATAGACATAAATATAATGTAGATGTATAACATGCATTGAACATATAGACATGTATGTACCTATGTCTGCCTTTGGTAACTATTCTACCATGCTCCCTTTCATCTTCCCCTTTGTCTATTTTAGGAGTGAGGTAATTTTGACAGCCGAATTGGGGTTCTGGCCAAGCAGAAAAAAAGCACAACACAATAATCTGGCTTTTACGAAGGAGGGAGAGCTGAGAATGTGGAAATATTAGCAAAACAAAAGAGTTTGGTGACTTAAATGGGGGAGGAGAGAAATTAATGTTACTGTTTTCTTTTTTGGGGAAAGCGCTTCCCTCACTTCCCCTTTCTCAAGGGAGTACCTGAGTAAAGTGGTCTGGAAGCCTCCCTGTCCCTTTAACTTTGAAAAAGAAAATCATTAGAAGGCCACTTTATGGTGAAATGAAGTGGATGGAGAATCATGGGGTAAATGTATAGAAGAGGAAAAGATAAAAATCTGAGCTTTCTCTAAGGTGAGATATGAGAAAAAGTTAACTTAAGACAGTCTTACCTTACTCCTCCCTTCTTGTGATAGAAAAACTAAAATGAAATGTGGAATTGGAGATGTGCTTTTGAGATTCCAAATCTTCTAGAGATGGGAATCTGTTTCCACATCAATGGGCTGGTTAAAGTCCCTCTCTGGGAGAATGAGGCCCAAAGCTTGGTGGAGGGGCTGGCATAGAGGAGGAATGCCCTCACCTGCAGGGCCTTGCTGAACTTTCCTAAACTAGTCCGGTGCCTCCTACTGGGGCTGGGTCTCTGATCCCACCCCCCACACTAACCCTGCCAAGAATAAAAAGGCCTGTTCCTTCCCTCCTAGGATTTAGCTGAGTTCCTCCAGCTTCTCCCTCTCTTTTCATTGATCTCCTCCTAAGGTATTACCCTTCTCCTCCTGTACCCACCTCACTGCTCTTGAAAACTTTTCCATTAGCTTAAAAAAAAAAGTTTCCCCTTTAAGAGGCTCCTGTAAGAGCCAGTGCTAGAAAAAGCCATTTCAGTTTTCTAAGACAAAACTCTTCTGTGTGAATCCTGGGAGGGAGCAGAGATGGGGGCAGACTCGGCCAGAACCCCAAGCCACTGAGCTCCTGGGTTATTCCAAGAATCCCAGCAAGAGGCAGGTCACTTCCTCCACCTGGACTGAGGCCCTGGAAATGTCTGGGGAAAGGGAATAGGGGAAATACTCATTACCCCTACGTTCCACCCCATGAGGAACAGGTCTGTTGGGCAAAAGCATTACACTGGATATCTTTCTTTTTTTTTTTTTAAGTAAGAGTGGGAGTAGTGTCTCCAGACTCTGAGAAACTATCTTACGTAGGTCTACGGGGTGGTCCCACTGTCTCTAGGAAACCTATTTCCATATTCTTTAAACTCATGAAGCCACCCTCCTTCCTGGTATCCCTAATAAGAAAGAGTGCTAGGTCAGGTCACTCAGGTAACCTACAAGTGAGAGGACTGAGGAGAGTCAATTCAGCTACGTATGACTAGAAGTTTGAGGAACCCAGGAGTCCCCTTAAACCTGTTCTTGCCCACTGGCAGCTAGGTGTGGCAGTGGATAGACTTGGGAGTTCAAATCCAGTCTCAGACACTTAGCAGTATGACCCTGGACAAGTCACTGCACCTCAGCCTCAGTTTCCTCATCTGTAAAATGGGGATTATAACAGCACCTATCTCCCAAGATTGTTGTGAGAACCAAATGAGATAATATTTGGAAAGCACTTTGCAAATCTTAACATGCCATTTCTGCCTTGCTCATCGGCACCTTTCACTGAGTCAAGAAATCTATACATGTGGTCACTTATCTTGGGATCTGAAAGTGAGACAATTTAATAATTTTCATTGTGAAGGAACTAGGCCTGGCAATAGACTCTGAGAGTGGGTGGGATGAGGAGTTTCTGGGTTCCTCATGCAAAGCGTTCTGACCTAAAGTCCAAAGATCCCCTGGCAATAGCTGAGATGGGGAAATAGGGGAAATGATTATTAACCCCAGTTCCCAAATGGGGAAGAGAAACATGTCTGTGGGCCAAACAGCGTTGTACAAAATACTACTTTTTTGGGAAGTGAGAATTATCCCCTTCAATGGAAGGGGATAGATTTTATGGGTTTTGTGAATTTGGATGAAAAAAAGTTACATCTTTACTACATATAATAGGGTACAGTATTTTATGCACTTATGTATTTTATTTTGTGCATTTAAAAATTATTCTAAGAAGGGCTCCATAGGTTTCACCAGACTTCGAAGGGGGTCTATACACAAAAAAGGTGAAGAAATTCTACTTTAAAGGGTTTTGCTTTCAAAGGGGAATGAGAGCTGGAGAGTACTTGGTGGGTTGGGTAAGATGGTTGGATTTGGCGGGGAGCTAGAGGGTGGAGGCCAAGCTAGTTTGAACAAAACAGAGCCAAAGTGGTTTCTCTGCTCTCTTCTCCCCTGCTCTGCTTTGCAGCGCCCTGCCCCAGCTTTAAGGAGGTGGGGGAGAGAGAGAAATGGAATAGGTCCCTCTCCCTTCTCTGATTGGACAGAGATGTCCTCCTCGCCTGAGCGCACAGGGCATACATTCAGGAACACTCTTCATCAGGGCGGTGGGCTTTGAAGCTGGCTAATTAGGACTGGAGCTTTTCACAGCTGGCTTCTTTTGAGCCCCTTCCCCCTCCCCCTCTCTCCATCACGATCAGAGGAACCCCTACCCAGTTCCTCCTCCTCCTCCTCCTTCCGAGACCCTGCAGCTCATTGAAACCACCTGAGGAGGCCCTAGCATTTGGGGACTGGAAAAGCAGAGCTGCTAAAAGAAAGTGGAATGGGCTTTGGGCAGATGAATATACGTATATGTGCGAGTGTATGTTTGTTTATTTATCAAAGGGCCAGGACATAAACTCTCAGTTAAAGAGTAGTTAAAGCATCTTCGTCTCTCCTTGCCCTCCCCCTTGCCTCTGTACAGGCCTCGGGGGGCATTCTCTTCCCTCCCTTCTCCCCTTCATTCCTGTCCCAGCTGTGGAGAAGAGCCAGCACCCTAGCTGGGGGCCGGACGCCGGGGCCCCTTTGTTTGAAAGCCAAGCTCTCTGAAGCCTCCAGCCCCCAAACCGAGCCCTTATAATTAGTCCCAATCAGGGTGATTATTTGTGTTTATGTCGGGACCTTTTTCGGAACTCATATCCCCAACTGTGATTTCATTCCAGACCTGGGGGGTGGGGATGGGGTGGGGGTGTGGAGGAGAGGGAGGGTTGAAGAAATGGGATATGTGGCTATGTATGGGGAGAAGCGGGGAGGGAGGAGGTTGGAAGGAATAGGAGGCAGAGGAAGGGTGGGAGGAGAAAGTTGGTGAAGAGAGGAATGGGGCTGGGGGTGGAGGGAGGGAAGAAAAGGGGGAGGGGAAATTGTCCTTCTGGTTTCACAAATGTTGAAACTGCCCGGCCCCTCTTAGTCTCACTCTGCAGGGTTACTAGCTGGG